TCGTCCTCAGTGACGAGTTTAAATCTAGTATTGACTTTAATATTAATAACCATATAGCTACAACAAAAACATTGTTTCATGAATTTGTTTTTCAGAAATGTAAAAAATTCGTCTAGGAAGTACTGTTCAGGTAAAAAAGTAAACACTTATTATAAAGTATTACATTTAATATTTTATTTCTTTAAAATTACCCTAATGACATTTAACTTCCTTAATTTGTATGTTCTAGTAATTTTGAAACCCCACAATATACGATACATTACCGACCATCATTACAAAATACTAATGAACTTGTCTAAACATAATTTTGTTACCACCATATTTGTGACACAGAAAATGTAAGGAATGCACTATTCAGCCTGCAGTTGGTATATTTAAAATGGCAGCCATCTTGGCTGCCATTTTAAATTTATTCACAATACAGATCACATTTTGAATCATGTCACAATGTATTCTCTGATGATCCAACCCTGGACTAGATACGATTTTTGTGCTACCAGAGCTTCATTGGTTGTTTGTTGGTGACTTTATAGATATTCAATCCAAAAAATATTAGGTGTTAAAATAGCAATAACACATAACGTTGATGTATCTCTCTTAACTGCATTGAAATATTTTTCTCAGGGTTTAAAACTCACTTTCTATGCCTTATAATTTGTATTTCGTTTTTATTGTTAAAAATATTAGTTGATTGGTGATGCTTAATGGAAAATTTACCCTTTTTATTAATAAATTGTTGTTGTAAATCAACTTATTGAATATCTGGAAAAGTCAAATTGGGAAATATCATCCACAAGGAGAATAATTATTAGATAACAATAACAATAGCATTAGCAATAGCAATTAAAATAAAAATAACAATAGCCTATTTTTTTACAAATAAATATGACACCAGTAATTTAAACTTTTTTTCCAGACAGGTGTCTTTGTGAGATTATGTTCATCGGTTTGGCTGTTTGCTTTATACTTTTTGTAACATTTGTTATATTGGCAATCACAAATAAAGGAAAATATGAAACGATAATTTTCGTGGTGCTAGCAATGGCTACTGTTAGCCCTCTCATCTACAAAGCTGGGAAATGGACTTGGGAATGGTATAAATCACGTACGGAAAGAAGTACGACACCGACGCAATCATCGCCTGATGAGTATAGCCAACTTAATGTAACAAATTGAACAAAAGCAAAAACATGTTTCTTGCTCCATTAAGATTAGACTTTTTAAATACAGTAATACGATGATATTTTGAATTGTGAAATATTGCTTTTGTTTTGGTTTTCTTGTAAAAATTAGGCAGCCCACTTAACCCTGAAACGGTCCAATTTGAGTCCCACAATTTGGAACAAATAAAAGAAAGAACTATTGTTACGCCTGTAACATTCCATTGTATACAATAAGCTAATAAATCACATATAGTAAGAAATACTTTCATATATTAACTATCATTGCTTCTGGTCGAATGTGGAATCATTAATGTGATAGACGTCGTGAAGGGTACCGTACGTGTTCACCCGCTAAAAGGTATATAGACAAAATCCGCCATTAAAAACATTGCATCAAAACATATAATATTTTAAACACATTGTTCGGATCAAAAAAAAAAAAAAAACACCAATAAATTCTGGGAAGCAGTGCATGTTTCCAAAAAGTTATTAGATAATTAAAACGCTATCACTATTTCAATCGATTTCTTCCATAATTATAGTTCACAAACAATTATTGACGCTCAGAAGGTGGTCACTACCAAAATTAATAACACGATTTAACGTTAAATTCTAACTATTGTAATACGGACTCATCGGCTATATTTATTTATTTATTTATTATCCCAGCCAACAGCAAACATAAAATTACAGGAGGGAACATATAGGCCTAATAATAAGAACTCTGCTCCGGGCCACGATGGAATTACTGCTCGAAGTAAAATCAAAACTTCTTAAATTTTGTCAGCAGTATTTTAATATACTAAAATATGTAGTTGTTCAAAGGTATTTGAGGAAAGTACGTTAATCCCTCTATTAAAAATGAAAATATAGATCCGTCGGTGCCAAGCAATTCTAGGCGCATAATTGTTTACAATATTTTAGTTAAGATCTTTGAGATTATATCTCCTCGAATCTCATAGTGATATTGAATTTGATCCGATACAATTCGAATTTGTTAGTGGTCGAAGTACCACCATGGCCGCCGCCACCTTAGTAAAGTTATTAACTATTGTGTAAAGCAGGGCTCCAGGGTTCACTATGTTTTTAAATTCCCCATTTTGTAATATTTCAAAAACTTGATTCAGCTATTAACTCTGATTGGTGGCGCTGTATGTATAAATAGTACGCAATTAAAAAACATTTTTCTTAAGAAAGAAAAATGAATTTGTGTAGCGGGATGGCATTAAGATTGGCGATTTTGTAGAGGCGCTATATTATTTTGTTTGGTTTGAGGGGTACAGTAATTTAATACAATACAGTTGCTATGTGTATATCCTCTCTTTGTTTTGCTTCCAAGCTTCGCAGACCTCATTTTCCCGCTGACCTCCCCTGCTTACTCCATTATTAGGGCAGACTACAGTATGTTTGCGTACCCCCAGCAGATTGTTAGTAATTACTTAGTTATATAGAATCGAAGCTTCGTTTGTTTAATTCACGTTTTACAGCTCTTTATGTACGATTTATATAGTAATCGAAATTGAAGGATTTTATATGCATTATTCACGTGTTGATGAAGATAGCAGGAGCTATCGAAATATCCGTTTGATTTTGTTATAGCTTAATAAATTTGTGTTCCGCAAGTCAACTTTCAATGATTGTACACCGTTTTTTCATTGTTTTTGCATTTTATTTTACTTGGAGCATACATGCAAACCCACTCTTCAATATATATATATTTTTATATAATGACAACGACATAAATATAGATTTTACTGTTAAATGGAATAACATGACTAGCAGAAGTATTGCAATTCGCAAAGGAATAAGGAGGACTCTTGTCAACTTTTATATTTAGCATGTTCTAAAAAGATTTTGTAAACTTTTTAAGTGAACTTATTGTGGTATTGAAAATTGTAGGTGTACATACATTCTTTTATGCGGATGATTTACTATAGTTATACTATATTTAGATATACTAGGGCTATAGATAGTCCTATAGATATACTATATTTACTATAGTCCTATCACCTCCACTGGTCTTCATAAACTTATTGATTAGGCTAAAAATTATATAATTGATTACAAAATTCGTCAGTTGTTTATCTTAAGTATGTTTTTAGACATTTGAAATTAAAACGATGTTACTCTGGTTTTACTCAACCTAGGAACACGATTCAAAGCCCAAAATAAAGCTTATATAAATATATCTAAAAAATATCTTAACTCATTTTTCATTTTTTTGTACTACTAGACTGATTTTGTCACGACAGGTCGCATATACTATACCATGGTTTACGTTTCAATTCCATCAAGACGTCTTGTACAATATTTGGCAAACAGTTTAACACCAGTGCAGCTATAGACTTGAAATAATAGACATAAACACATTTTTATTTCGACTACAAACTACAAAATAATAATATTGATAGTATCAGATTGTATTGCAACAATATTTTGACTTCACTAAATGCATTTTCCCAAAAAAGTATTAGCAAATGCCTAAAAAAAGAATTTCCAGCGTTACGTCCAACATTCTGACATTGGGTCGTGTCGTGCCGTAAACCACAATCCCATTGGGGGTCAAAGGGCGGGTTTTATATAAAGGGTAAATTAAGATCTTTTCAATATGATGGGTCTTTAACAAAGATTGATCTTTTATCGACGTCTGTATCGTCGACCTCTGGCTAATCATACCAATATTTAAATCCTCTTTTTCTCCTTCCCGTTGGAGAGGCCAGTCACCCCCTGTCGTCAGAAGCCACGGCGAGGTCGTCGGATCAAAAATAAAATAATAATAATAATAATAATAATAATAATAATAATAATAATAATAATAATAATAATAATAATAATAATAATAATGTGCCTATCAAAATATTATTAAACGTTTTCGATTGCTAATCCCTAATTTTGTGGTTTAAAGCAAAAGTGGACCAACAAAGGAATAAAAAAAACTCTCCCGTGAACCCTATCAGGGATATTTTTTATTCCCGGGTCCCGGACTGAGGCTCTAGTTGGCCGCTTGGTTCGGACTCCTCCCGTCCCCCAACTACCCACACCTCGAAAATGTCGGACTTTTGTAGGAGCGTCCGTTGGCCTGACATGGCACCCGGCAACGTCATAAGATCAAAATACGACTTCATTCCAACATCGGCCCAGTTATGGTGGTCCTTTCAACTACTTTTTATATATTTACCGACTTCGGGCATTGTACAGTAACCAGTGGCATAGAAAAGTATTTTTCATTGGGGAGGATGATTGGCGTCTTGTTAGCCAGTGTCGTAACAGGCGCGGGGGGGGGGGAAACTACCCCTCCCCTGACGCGCGCATTTTTTAGGGCTTTTTTAGGTTTATCCTTTTAAGTTATTTAAACACATAATAGTCCCAAACTCAAGAAAGACAAATTTAAGATAGATCGTTTTACCCTAAAAGAAGGGCCTCAATGTGTATTGATGGTGAAAGAATATGTTTGTAATAAATAAAACCATGATGAAAATGCTTATATTTAGTTTCAAACACACGTGTGTGGCCTATATTATAAATAAGATACCGGTAAGCCCTATGTCGTATTGTTTTCTATATGGGGAGTGGGGTGGGGTGGGTATGGTAAATTACTAACCGGGAAAATAAATACCCACTCTGACACAAGCCCCCTGTTACGCGCCTGGTGTTAGCGCCAGTGTGTGCTCTTGTGCGGACAGGGGATGTGCCCCCCACCCCCTGAAGCTGGAAACCTTGTTTTTGCAAAATAAATTGATGCAACTTGCTATTATAGGCCTAATCAATAAATTCCTCATCAACCGATATAACCTTAAACATTCTTGGAATTGACATAAAATTACTGATGTCTACACACCCTTCAGTGTGAAATGTGGCTCTCTTTGCAAGCACATCTAGCATCTAAGGAAAGAAGAGCTTAGATTGGTACCAGATAAAATAATTTAGTTATCAACATTAATACATCATGCTAATTTTCATCTTTGTAAGCGCATAAGACATTGCAAATTATTTCTGTGACAGTCTTTTGAAGTGTGTAAAGCTCCATTCTATCCCATACATATTCAAACTATTGGGGGGGGGGGATGATACAATGAACCATCCCCCTTGGGGGTATATCCCCCATCCCCCGGGATCTACGCCTAATATATGGCAGTGACATTGCACCAACGACGTCTTTAATCAGGCTTTTCATTAGTGTGAGTAGTAACTCGATAACTATTCTCTAAGGTAATGATGTTCCCTATAATTGCATTTTCAGTCTTATTACAGATATTTTAAAACAGATGCGTATTAAAAAGTAAAACTTCTGATTGCACATTCAAAATGATCAAATAAACTGAATAATTTATAAATTTCCGAGAAAGCTTTAGCAAGATTTAACAACATGGATATGAACGGTTGACCGATATCATGGCAGATTACTTTCGCTGTCAACACGTCCTTTTGTAGAAATCATTTCGGTACAGGATCCTTATTAATAATAAATTGATTACTAATTTGTCAAAATTTAAATATACAGTGATAAGACGAAAATTCCAGGAGGTGGACGAGCTCTTTATACATTACTATTCTGATGACTCTAATTTATTTAAATATATTATTGTTTTTTTTATTATTATTTTCCCCCTCTCGCGCGTGAGAGACATCCAAAGTCAGATAACACAAAGAATATGACAGATTTGCACCTACAAAATTAAAACTTTTACTAACAATAACAAGTACTTAGGCTTATGCTATTATGTGTGACACCGACGAATCTGGTATCGCGTTGCTCTTATCAAGTAACCTTCTTGCTCTGGTTAACTGAAACGGGAAAAAATAAAATTGTGAAACCAAAGAATATAGATCTATATTCTTCGGTGAAACTAAAAGATATTGAGAGCGCCATCTATTGTTTAGGAATTGATAATAGTCAATAATAACATGTGTTTCCGCTCCGCGCGATTCGAGAGATTGAGGGTTATAGTGGTTTTTGTGCAGGTGGAAAATAATATTTAAACAACATTTAAAACATCATTATAAAATCATGTCAAGTGATCACGATGGAGAAAGCAGTGATGAAATGGAAGTCCTCGAAGCTAACGATAGTGACAACGATGCAGACTCTGGTAACATTGAAACAAAGGCTTACATTCCGGGAGGAGATCACACGAGTGGAGAAGAACTTGTTAGGGACGAATCTGCCTATCACATGTACCACCAGGCACAAACAGGTGAGGACACTACCTAGCCTAGGCTAGGCCTACGCAAAGACGGCAATAAGGCTTATTTTTAGCAGTAAAGAAGTAACCAAAGCTTGCTGATTCTACTAATACACGCATACCTGGGCGCTAATGCATAAGTTCACCTCATCCTCAAAATCAAACTTCCAAGTTGAAATTCCCTTATATTCATGTATTATGCAAAAACATGCCTTTTACGTACACGATTAACACTATTATATGACAAATCCAGCTTGTATTATTAAGAAAAATCCGGTTTTACCGCAGCTCACTCGAGTGGCTACCCATCCGATCGCTTCTCAGCCATCTTGTAAATGAAATGGTTGCCAGAATCACATATATACGACTTCTAGTAACTTAGGGAATCAATTGTAACACTGTGCCATTTTGGTTCTAGTTGCGCACAGTGATAATGAATAGGATAAAATTCAATTCAGTTGATGCGCAGTGCATCAAATGCATAAGTTCACCTCATGCCCAAAATCCAACTTCCAAGTTGTAGAGTCCTCAAATATTAATGTATTATGCAAAGCATGTCTTTAGCTACACGATTTACACTATTATATGACAATTTCAGCTTGTATTATTAATATAAAAAAACCCGGTTTTACCGCAGCTCTCTTGAGTCACTCCCATCCGATCGCTTCTCGGCAGTTTATCGTTGTGCGCTACTATACCCATTTTGGTTCTAGTTGCGCACAGTGATAATGAATAGGATAAAACTCAATTCAGTTGATGGGCAGTGTATCGAATGCATAAGTTCACCTCATGCTCAAAATCAAACTTCCAAGTTGTAGAGTCCCTAAATATTAATGTATTATGCAAAACATGCCTGTAGCTACACGATTTACACTATTATATGACAATTTCAGCTTGTATTATTAATATAAAAAAATCCGGTTTTAACGCAGCTCCCTTGAGTCGCTCCTATCCGACCGCTTCTCGGCAGTTTATCGTTGTGCGCTACTATACCCATTTTGGTTCTAGTTGCGCACAGTGATAAATAATAGGATACAATTGAAATTATTGACGGGCAGTTTATCACTGTGCGCTACAATACCCATTTTGGATCTAGTTGCGCACAGTGATAATGAATAGGATAAAACTCGATTCAGTTGATGGGCAGTGTATCGAATGCATAAGTTCACCTCATGCTCAAAATCAAACTTCCAAGTTGTAGAGTCCCTAGATATTAATGTATTATGCAAAACATGCCTTTAGCTACACAGTTTACACTATTATATGACAATTTCAGCTTGTATTATTAATATAAAAAAAATCCGGTTTTAACGCAACTCTCTTGAGTCGCTCCCATCCGATCGCTTCTCGGCAGTTTATCGTTGTGTGCTACTACACCCATTTTGGTTCTAGTTGCGCACAGTGATAAATAATAGGATACAATTGAAATTATTGACGGGCAGTTTATCACTGTGCGCTACAATGGATCTAGTTGCGCACAGTGATAATGGATAGGATAAAACTCAATTCAGTTGATGGGCAGCGTATCGAATGCATAAGTTCACCTCATGCTCAAAATCAAACTTCCAAGTTGTAATTCCCTTAAATATTCATGTATTATGCAAAAACATGCCTTTTACGTACACGCATTTTGGTTGTAGTTGCGCACAGTGATAAATAATAGGAAAAACCAGTTTGTTTGTAAATAATTATCAATCATGACAGCATAACGGGGGGGGGGGCTATAGTGAATGCATCAACACCTACCATGTTGATATTCACTATTATATTCAATAAAGATTTTTGTATCGCCAATGCGTATCGTATTTTCTGATGTAGCCAAATGTATCTAGAGGAAGAATAGGGTAGGCCTCCTATATCATTTTTATACATGAACACTAAATTGTATGCAATGCTTGTATTTAATGGGCCTAAATAAATCATCGGGAATATGCATCGATAACTTATAAAATAAATTCACGAGGCAAATATTAAAACAGTGTAAATATTTATTTCATTTCCTTCAACTTAACTAATATACCTGGATGGTGTCCGGCGGGGGATAGTTTTTATTATCATAGTTTAACTTTTATCTATCAGAATCTAGCCCCGAATCCTAGACTCGCATATTTAAAGTGGCCTGTAGCATGAGTATACAGCATATATTTGTATTTTTTGTCTATGGATAAATAAATGTAAGAATTGAGTACTGTTTTCTGTACACTACATGTTTGTTTGGGTCAGTTAAGAATTAGCACCTAATTAGGCCTATTAATGAAATACAACGGTACACGAACATTCACTTTTATGTTTTATTTATATTTTGACATTAACATAGGCCTTTAACACTCAATATTATTTTTATTTAACATAAGCCAATAAACAGCTTCCACACATAAAATAACAGTAGGCCTAACCAATAAAAATATACAAAATACAAAACAAGAGTTATGCAAGATTAAAAAAATTAAACTATAGGCCTACGAAAGTCGCCGCCCAGCAAGCAGACAAGGCCATACTTTAAACTGGCATCCAGGCACTCCATCGAACGTCCTATTGTTAGCATCTCAACTGACCCACTTCTGTCAAAGCGGCGCTCAAAGCGAATTTCTATAGACCACGGAGGAAAGTTCTTTCCTCCATGTATAGATCAACACCGGCCACACAGTCAGTGACATTTGTCACGTGATGTTGCGTACTCTGTTGGACTGATCACATCCACACACACGAGGTACCCAATATTAATTGTACAGTAGTTGCATAGGCCTAGTTGCTGTATATAATATATATTGATGCCTATGTTTAATAATAGAGAAAATAGATGTTCTATTTTCTCAATAGTTTATTGAATGATGTTTGGCGAATACTGGCGTCCACTTGTGTTTCCATGTGATATGTGTGCAGGGAGTTGATAAATGTTTTTTTCGTTCGTCGTCAGCTTCTTAGCTGGTGGACTGCTATTTAAAGAAGATAGGTCTTTCCGACAGAGCAAACGGCAATTAGGCCTACATGCATGTGCTGCCATTATCGTCAATTACCACTTAATTTAACTATTAGGACCATGCAGCCTTTAAACTTTGAAATTGGTTCATTTCAAAGTAAAACTTGTTCAGTATTTTAAATTGTACAAAAACGGTAGTTCAACCGGGGCCTGGTCTAACGACACAGACGCGTTTGTCGCCCAAAACAATAGAAACAATGGCAAACGCGTTCAACAGCACAAACCCGTTTAGACGCGTCTGGGACATATTCCGACTAGATATTAATATTCATGAGGCACGATAATTAGACGATCGCTTTCCCAGACGCATTTGTAATACATGGTTTTCCCAGACGCGTTTCTGTCATTGGGGATAATTTGTAGATCGCGCCTAATCAATAATACTCCATTTTTCATGTACCACAAGACCCATTTTGTAATGAAGCCTCATTAATTTTAGTTGAGTACTAGAAAGACAAGCAAATATACCTTGTGCTTTTTCATAATTTGCTACACTTTACAAATTTGAACAATTTCTTAATCAATACGTAGAATGCATTTAGATTACAAGGCTAGCTACCATGTCAGTATACAATCTACTAGAAAGGCTAATGCAAAATTTATGACAAATTGCATTATTAAATTCCAGTATGAGCAGCTAATTGGATTAGGATTTGAAAAGCGAGTCAATATACAAACAATAGAAGAGAACTTTTATACCATGTACAGTATAAAAATACAGTATCCATAGACAATAATTTACCAAGTTTTTGTTATGAAAATGGTAAATTTGTTGGATTTTTATTTTTTTTTAATTTCTTTTCAGTACTAAAATTTATTGTGGAACATGTAGTACAGTACAATACAATTAATGAATTGATACCTTGAGGGAGGGGTGGAGTGGGGGATTGGTGGTTGTGGTGTCTATTAATGGCTAAAGTACAGTCTCCTATGAAGCATAATTCAGAACATAATCAATAAGAGACTAACATTTCTTTTGGTTATCATTACAGGTGATCCTTGTTTGAGTTTTGATGTGATACGCGATCATCTAGGAGATGAGCGATCAACTTATCCTCACACGGCCTACCTTGCCGCAGGTTTGTATCTTCCTCCATAAATTAAATATGTCATAAAGTAACATAATAAGCACCCGCATTTTTCATAGCACTATTGTAGATATTTTCTATCCAATATTATATCACTATTACTGTATATCCCGGTAAAATTAAATTTAGTTTTAATATAAAAGCTTTTAATGTAATGATAGTTACCAACCCAGTGATGAATAGAAGTTAATTTTCCTTCACACCAAAGGACTTAATCCTCTTCTGTGCCATCTGTCCTTTCCTCTTTTTTTCTTTTTTTTCACCTCCTGTTTATTATTTGAAACAGTAAGCTAGTAGAATAATAAAGAAAATAAAATGCAATACTGTGTAGCTCTCATTCTGTAACAATTGAGCAGTGCACCATGCATTTTAAAGATGTAAATAATTAATTATCCTTGTTCTTGGTATCCATGGAATAATTAAACACAATATTTGAGAAACATGTCCTACATATATGTATGCATGTTAAAAGGGATGTTGAGTAAATTGGTTTGAGTACCTGATCCAAAGTAGTTCCATCTAATCAATTACATACACAAGTGTAATGAATACAAAGTACACAGGCAATTGATTGGAAATTTACTACCTTTTGTTATTAATGTAATGTAGATCATATAACTAGTGTTTTTATGATCAATTTGTGCATTATGAATACTACAGATAGTTTTTTGAAAGACGAGACAACCTTGCTGTCCTGGCGATGCTAGTATATATCCAGGCTCCCTTGAAAGGTCTTAGTATATATTCTAGGATCCAAGGCTTCAGGCCCTTTCAGGGGCGGATTTAGGGGGGGGGGGCAGCCCGGCCCTGCCCTTCCCCCCCCTTTTGGGAGGTAAAAAAAAGGGGGAAAAAAAAAATGATAGCCCAGAATGCCTCAAATGTTATGATCGGGCGTCTAGAACACAGAAATTTCGCGGGGCATGCCCCGGACCCCCTACGACAGTGTTGTCTCAATTGGCCCAACTTTCGGTCCACCCCTTCCGGCTCCCCCTTTTGGACATTTCTGGATCCGCCCCTGCCTTTAGCCAGTAAAGTGCTCACAGTTGTTTTGCCACCGTGTTTAACATTAAATTTTGATTTCTGGTGAGAGAGATTTGGTGAGGACATTAAGTAAGTCTCCCTTGAAACTTTTAAATTTACAATCAGAAACAGTCCTTAATGGAGGTATTTTTTTTAGCAAATAAGTGATATATGAACTTGCCTGATATTTTATTTTGTCTTTGTAGTGGCATTTGTTATGATATTGAAATATAGTAAAACAACTACCATATTTTTTTTTAATGAATGCCTACATTGAATAAACACCCCCTTCAAAGCCTCATTTGGAATTTCATTTTTTCTAACCTTGTTGGGATCAATTAGACTTTATGATCACACCATAACACATTTTTACAGTAAAATTAATGGGCGTTTGAGTATACATATCCATTTTACACCAAAATAAATAAATGCCTCCATTGAATAAATGCCTCCCTCGCATAACGCCTGCCTCGAATAAACGCCTGCCTCGAATAAACGCCTGCCTCGAATAAACATCTCCCTCGAAAACCCTGGGGCATTTACAGAATTTGAATGAATATGGTAAATGTCACGACAGATTGGATGATTGCTCTTCATTGTTATGGGTGATTATTATTATTATTATTATTATTATTGTTATTATTATTATTATTATTATTATTGTTAGTATTATTATTATTATTATTATTATTATTATTATTATTATTGTTAGTATTATTAATATTATTATTATTATTGTTGTTGTTGTTGTTGTTGTTGTTGTTAGTATCATTAATAATCAGTAGGATTACATGATTACTGTGCAAAGTCTTACAGTGATTACCTATGTACTGTTATATGCTAAAGAGTACAGGTGTAGGCTTATATGCTAATTGTGAAACTCATTGTGTGAGAACAATAGCTAGTATAGCAGAAAGCATTCACTTGCAACTACACTACCAAAGTGAAAGGGTGTGGCAAATATAGGTTAGCTGTAAAAGTCCTCATATATATAATGTTAAAGCTTGATAGTACTTTAGAACAAGGAAAGTTAATCCATATTTTGACTGGAGGTAAAGCTAACTGTGCTGTGGACAACTCAAAAGTCAAGGGTGTCATTTTTGGAGTTGTATTACCCATGTATTAGTGCAAGTCAGGCTATTTGTTATATGTCAAAGAATTCCAATCCGTCTTATGAGGGGTACACAGTGATTGAAAAAGTCGGTGTGGTAATAGGACGCAAGCACGTCTGGATGCACAACCCTTCATCTAAGAACATATATATATATATGTATAAAGATATATATAGACATAACAAGATTCAAGTCCAGAATCGAGAGTGCAGATACATATTGATTTATTTTTTCTTATTCAGAACTAATGTACCGGTTCATGATTGGATGTGATATATGCAAATCAATTGTTATTAATAGCTATTAACTTTAAAATCTGTGGCAAATATAAGTGAGTTTATTACTTGTGAAGGAAGAATTAAATCCAGTTTTATATATTGTACATTTGTTTCTTTCCTAATACTTTCGTTACAAGAGTGTGGTTTTGAACTCGGCACATCAATGTTGGTGTGACAATTAATGCAATTTTACATTTACTGTTCCATTTACACATTGTATTTATTGCAGGTACACAAGCTGAAAAGTCTCATTTGAATAACGTGATTGTTATGAAGATGTGTAATCTGCATAAGAACTCTAAGGATTCATCATCAGATAGCGAGAGTGAGGAGGATGAAGATGAGGAGGAGATGCCAGAACTGAAGACTGATGCGATCAGTATATCGGGATCAGTTAACAGACTGAGGGTCAGTACTGTATTCTTTATCGGATACATGTGTACATTTATGTTTGTTCTATTTAATAATAAAAATAATATGCAGTAAATGTGTGGAAAATAAAATTGAAATTGGATTGATTGCAATTCAACAAATCTAGAGCTCTATAATACTTGACTGTACCTACTATCATTGGAAGGCACTCTTTTTGTGAAGAATTCCAGTTGATCCTATATATCCATTTTCTTCCTGAGTAGGAGCATGGAGGAAATTTCCTCCATGGTAGGAGGAAGTTAGCAATGTGCCTTTCCCACAAACACAGTGCACCCACTAATTCAAGGCCTCAGAATTTGGTGTAAAATGATTTGAGATTGTTAGTTGTTGCTTAAAAATGGTCTCAATTTGGAGGGTGAATTGCAAGTGACTAGTTCACATTTTGTTCAGTCTCTAAAACAAAACTTTGTGACTTTGGCTCCATTACTGCCTTTTGCGGATTATCTGTACATACATTGCCACATTGCAACAGCAACGTTAATTGGACATCGGTGGGTGAGACCGCTTGAATGTTACCATCTCTGACACTGCTGTCAATTTTACACCTCATTTTGGGCTATTGTTCAACTGTAAAGGCCAACTGAGACAGCATTGCACTATAGCTCGACGCCTCATATCTGTGTAAGCCAGACGACGTAAGGACTTTCCCTAACAATAAATTGCGTTGGGCTGTGTCGTACAATGCTATCTGTGATATAATTTTGTTTATTTTTACATTCTTGTAATTAAGTGCTTCATGGATGTGTACATAAAATGATATGTAAATATATATTGTAATTGTTATTAATGTTATTGTTTTTATTCTCTAACTGCAGGTTACTAAAATAGCAGACAAAGAGATTGCAGCATGTTGGTGTGAAACTGGCAGAGTTCACATATTTGACCTTAGCCCATCATTGAAAAGTTTAGAGGTCACAGGTCAAAGGCAACCATCAAAATCGAATCCTTTACATACTTTTGCAGGCCATCAGATTGAAGGTTATGCTATAGATTGGTCTAGACTGGTACCAGGTAAGTTTTACAAAATATATTATTATTTCCAACCAGTTTTTACGAATTCATTTTGCTTTGTCTACTTGTTTTTTAGTGTTTTTTTAAACAGTTGTAATATCAATGTATGATTATAAAATTAAATACAATTGGCAGATGGGATAAATTCTTTATACCTTCCTTAAAAGATAGATTAATTTCCTCATCAAGACAGCCCTCTAGTGACAAAGGAAGAGATAAGGTGTTGGAGTAAAGAAGCCTCCAACCAGCAGACTTTGATATCATATATGCCAATTATTTATATTACAGGTCGTCTTGCATCTGGAGATTGTAAGAAAAATATACATGTCTGGAAATTACAAGATGGTGGTAGTTGGCACATTGATCAACGACCTTTTACAGGTCACACAGACTCAGTGGAAGACATCCAGTGGTCTCCAAATGAATCTAATGTAAGATATAGTCTTCAAAATCTATTGATATTGTGTTTTAGTGGAGTTGTGGGTTGGTGTTTGAAATACAGATTTCAAATATCTAATTCCTGGGTTCGATCAAGACAATATTTTTATGCCTTGTTATGACAGTTATAAACATGAAATACTTGGTCCTCTGTAAGAATTTACTACTGAAGAGATGAATAATAAAGTATTAAAATAAATATTCCATTTAAAGATAGATGGTTGAAATACTTTCCTTTACATCCAGGGTTCTGGGTTTAAATCTTCTAAACTGCCGCAATTTTTCTGACTAAAACATCTGAACATCCTCAGGAACATAATAAGTCATTAAAATATTTGCATATCATACACTAGTGGAAATTATTATTGCGAAGGTTAGATTAATGCAAGAAAAACATTTTTTTAATTCATTAATCTAATTTAAGTATTAATTATTTTCTCTAATATATAGGCCTAGATAAGCATTATTCTAATTAGTTTATAGATCACAACTCTGTCCTGTGCCAAGTGTCTTTAACATGAAGACGGCTAGTGTTACCGTTATACTGTAGTTATAATTTTTATAATTTTATTATAGATAATTGGTGATTAACATTTGTAATAAATATGTTATAAATATAACTTATGAATTTTGTTCTTCTTGTAGGTCTTTGCCTCATGTTCTGTTGATAGCAGTATTCGTATTTGGGATATCCGTGCCGTTCCCAGTCAAGCATGTATGCTGTCTAAAGACGCCCACAGTAGTGATGTAAACGTCATCAGTTGGAATAGAAAGGATCCATTCATTTTATCTGGGGGTGATGACGGTGTTATCAGTGTGTGGGATCTAAGACAATTTAAGGTGAGATTCGTTCGTTCGTCCTTCGTATTCGAAGAAGACCTTGATCACCAAGTATATTGGCAGGTTCCTAGACTTATAAGTTATCCTTGTGTATACGTTGGTGGCTGATTAGTCCAATCCTGGATTTAAAGTTTCTTCTACACGTCTGGCATTGATGCTCAGTTGATGTGCATTTTATTTTCTCACGTTCCTTTCTTGCAGCACGTTTAGCTTTTGCGTGCAAGATTCTGTTTTTTTCAAACCGTTCTATTCCAGTGTGAGTAGTGTGTCTCCAAATGAGTCTATCTGATGCTTGTACTTCAAATGCATTTGGTGAGATGCTGCAGTGCTTCAGAGTTGCTTTCAGTGAATCCTTAAAGCGTTTTTTCTGACCTCCTTGGGATCGATTACCTGTCCAGAGTTCACCATATAGGAGCTGTTTTGGTA